TGGCCTGGAGCTCGGTCGTGTTGGGGAAGGCCGTCATAGACCCGATGTCTAGATTTGAGAAGTTGCTGCCCTGAATGAATGACTGGCTAAGGCCTCTGGCGAAATGCTTTACGGTTCTCGGAAAGTCTATCGTGTCTGCTGTGGGATCCACAGATTGTCGCTTCTGATTCTCAGATCCTGATGGCTCTGATGCTGTCAAGCCCAAGCCGTTTCTTGCGCCTTCTCCTAGGCCCAGCCCTGCTGCTGCCGCGATCTTGGGAAGATTCTGCATGAAGCTCGAGACACCGGAACTATTTCCCAAACTCTTGATAGTGGCTCGAAGGTCAATGTTGGATACGATCGGCATTGCAACCCCAAGACCAAAATTTCCAGCTAGACCCTCAATGCTCGAATCCGACGAAGGCGCGAAACGTTGCTCTGTCAGACCGAACCCTACTGCAGTCGCGTTTCCAATGCCAGATGCCAGGGCAAAGGCCGCAGGGGCGAGAGAGAAGTTGTTGTCATCGAAGGAAGGGGTAATTTGCCTCGATAGGCCGTTTCCAAGTTGCTGAGCGACGAGGTTCGCACCACTTGCTGAAGCGTTGTAGGCGGTGGCGATGCTCGAAGCTATCGCGTTGGCTTCCTCCATGTCGGTCAGGTTGAGAGCAGTCGTTGTACCCATTCTGCTAATGGTTAGTCTGTTCGTTGTGGTGGGCACCTACGTACCCTAAACCTATACCCAGAAACAAAGCGGGTGTACCAAGGGAGCCCGTCATCAAGTCCCCTAGGCTGCCCAGTACACCGGCCAATCCACCTGTCAGATTGAACCCGCCTATACCACCAGCACCCGTCAAATCTCGGAAAGTACTACTGATGTCATCCTGCAAGTCCCTCCTCTTCAGTTCTGACCCCTCTTTCGACCGAACGTGCTTGATACCATCCGTGAGATTGGCGCCAAAGTTCTGGAGACTTTCCGAACGAAGCTTCTCACCGATATCACTGGAAGATAGTGCGATGGCTTCTGTGAGTGATAGTAGCGCACTACGCAACCTTACGTCTTGGTTGAGCGCATCGATGGTCTGTGTAGAGAAGATTGCTGTGAGGCTGTCTGGGTAATGTTCGCTAGCGAATGATCCCCGTGAGCCGAACCAAAAGGCAGCCGATGAGTAAAGCAAAAAGAAGGTCGTAAAGCATGCCAGTAGGTGCCAGACCGGCCTTTCAGAAGCAAACGCAAACATTATTATAAGGAGGTAGTGGGGTATCTCAAATACATGTGCAAGAAGAAACCAGAAGGCGAATGTGTCAATGGCGGTGGCCTGCCACAACACTCACTCAGGAACCAAGAGTAGGCGCCCGGCCAAGTGCCACAGCGATACTATATGTCGAGCAGAGTGGACATGGTGATGCTGTCCGGGGTGCCGTTCTTGAAACATCCTAGACGTAGAACTAGAAACGCTAGAAACATCAGAAACATGCCCACTTCATGTCGTACGTGCAGCATATCAAAGAGGCGCATTATGCGCTGGGGCCTGTTACTCCGTAATGCTGACACTTGCGCGAGGATCGCATTGCTGTGGATGGAGAACTGCTCGCAGTGAAGAAGTCTGACTGTAGTACAGGTCAGAGAAATATTTCTCCAAATCGAAGCCAGCTAGCCGCTCGCATGATCGCAAAACACAATTGTGGCCGAGACCATCTCTCGACGTCGCACAGGGTGCTGAAGGAGCAATAAAACAGTATTGCAGAGGGCTTTACCTCACTGCCGGGCTGTCCTAGTGGATGTGATCATCCCGCGACCGGGCCGTTCGGTAATGCGACGATCTTGAAACATGAGACATTGGCCAATGACCATGCACAACATTGAAGCTGTGTGATGAGCATTTTAGACGGCCAGTCAAGGTGCGAACAATGCCTGTAATGCTGGCGAATGGTAGTTGTCAAAGGACAAGAAGCGCGTGCCCCCGAACATTGCGGTCCAGGATACCTTCGCGAGCTCCGATGTTGAGGCTGCGTCTGTGGGTTAGCGACTGTGGAGCATGTGAAGTACCAGATTTGCATTCATGGCACGCGCGACAAATTCGCGTTCTCTGTGACACGCGCAGACAGCTCTCCTGGAGCCGCAGGTGCTTGACAGCTCCCAGGTCGTGTTACTCAGGCCGAGTAAGGTTTGAGAGGATGAGTGTCTATCGCATCCGGACCTTCAGATTGGGCGGGTGTGATATGGTTGCGATGTTTACGTTCGATTTGCGATGGTAGGGGGAAAGTTAAAAACAAGTCGACTGGACGGGTGAAGATGGAAGGAACAGACGCGTCACGCGTCGCGTGTTGAGCAGAAGCTGACTAAGCGCGCGTCGGCTGATCTGCGCCGAGACGGCGTGCGTTTCCCCACGTTCTGCTTCCTTTCCACAACACGAAACAGACAGCCACCTCTATTGTCTAGAGATGCAGTACACCTGCGATCTACCACATGCGACGACGGAGATCAAAGACTTTGCCTGCTCTATCCTGGCTTGGTGAACATAACGCAGAGACGCCATGGGATGGCGTGTATCTGGAAACTTGGGGAACAACAAGAGACGACGCACTGGGCTTGAATTTTCCTTGATATACTGTAGTGTCCACGCTCCTTAAGATGCTCAAATGACTTCCGATAATGACTGTTTGAATCTCCCAAAACCCATTGCACGATACGAGACGATCTCATATTGCCACAACATCAACATCAACATCTTACTCTAATACAGTCTACCCCGCATGATACATCCCACTCATCGCCTTACCCGACCCAAAACCATGAGCCACCTCCGAGTCATGATCTACTGAATCAGCATCATCCCAATCCTCATCCTCCTCTCCATCCCCAATAACAAACATACTCTGCAGCTTCTCTAACTGCTCCATATGATTCACAGACATCCTCTTGCTTTCTTGAGCAGCACTTTCACGCATGACAAGCGAGTCTTGACGCTCGATGAGAGTCCACGACGCTTTTTCTACAGCTTCGGCACTCCTTCCAGGATCCAAGTCCGCGGGCTTTGTACCTGCAGGCAACGCAACGGCTATTGCTACACGGTTGATGATGTCTAGTGCAGAGGGAAGAGGACGATGCTGGGGCGGTATGACTAGGTTACCGATGGTTTCGAAGTGGCTGATAAGGGAGAAGCGAGTCTCGGGTATGGAGAGACGTTGGGATTCTTCGTCTGCGGTAGTGAAAGCTGGGTTGGAATGAGGAGACTTGCGTCGAGAGAAAGTGTAAAGTCGGACCGGGTGGACGAAGATAAGAATTAGGAAGATGGTTAGCAAGACCGCGCCTGCGCAGCTAGCGACTATGGCACCGACTTGGTCGTGGGTTAATGCCATGAGTGTTGGCCGGGCTTGAGTTTGTGAAACTGATAGTTTGAAGGGTTTTTGTGAGCTGAGATGAAGCATTGAGACAGGAACTATCTTGATAAGCTGGAGCGACTGTGTGTTGAACGTCCGGACATGTAGTCGCACAGTGCTTGAATCTTGGTCACATTGCGGGCCCGGGGATATCTGATAGCAGGATGTCCGCTAGCCGGTTCGAGCAACCGACCTCCTGTACTGAGTTGCGATTGGTATATCTGTGTCTAACGTGAGGACGGGTCGTCGAGCCCGTTGCAAACTCCGTTCGATCTCCTGTTGGCGTTCTTGATTGGCCTTTCTCCGACGTCGATGTCGAAAGTAGCTTACAACTCCGACGACGATGGCCAAGATAGTTGCAGAGCCTAGTATGGAAACTATAATGATGATCGTTTGGTTGGAGATGCCTTGGGGTTGCAGCTCCTCGACTGACGCTTCGGCGGATGCGTCAGCCAGATCGGCTTCTTGGATATGTGAGGTGAAACTTGATGTAGCCATCTTTTGGTAAAGCAGATGACATTTGGAACTGCGATTATGGTCTTTGAGAGTAGAGCAGGATTCTATAACTAACCGGGAGCATAACCGGGGATCATCTTTGTTTGAAGAAGTTGCAGGAGACAAAGCCGTCAGTGTGCTCCGCCCAGTTGTACCACCGCAGATCACATTGCATACAAAGACGATGTAAAAAAAAGTACTAATGGCGAGATATCATGATTAGAAGTGATGGCTTATTGCATCGATACATACTTAAAGTCCTACCTTGTCTTTGAATTTCTCCCACTGCGTTTGTCGAGCTTTCTTCTGCTCTTCGGCAATCCGATTCCAGTGCTCCCTGTAATTTTGAATGAACACTCTCGGCTTCCATTCTTTTCGCATCTCCTTGCAACGCTCTTCCTCAAGGAGACTTTTCTCGGCATTGTAACGCTGGAACCATCCTCGATGAGTGAGGCGGTCGTGAGGCTGAGGCGAGCTAGTGGCAGAAGAGATTGCAGACTTCCACCACGTGCGCAAAGCCTGGAGATGGTGCTGGAAAGATGTCTTGCGTGGCGGTGTGTTAGTCAACGGAAGTATCGATTTCTTGAAACGACCGAAGAAGGTTCGTATTAGCTTCCGTGAAATCAGGAATGCCATGCCGAGAATCACGGCAATGGTGATCGGAATAATGGTCAAGGACTTGCGATCGATCCTCCAAAAAACATTTCGCGTCGACATGATACGCGCTTCAGTCTCGGTAGATTGTGACCCTGAAATGAGGCTGAGATCTTGGGTGATGTACTACCTAGAATAAAATTGCGGTGAGCGATTCCGTGATAAGGTCGAGACAAAGAGGAAATCGTGCATGGACAAAGCGATCCAATCAGTATCTAAACGCTAGTAAGTTTACAATGGTTGGGCGGTAGTAACCTATGCGCAAAAGCAATGATGGAGAACGAGTGGACAACATTGTTCACGATGTTTTCCCGTCGTGTGGCAGCGGTCTGAGGTGTGGTGTGATGGATGCAAGTAGCGGTGGCGAGCGCGTGATGGTGAGCCAACCAACGACGTCATGAAATCCTCCATATTATCGAGGCCTCTGCCGCCCGATTCCGCAACCCTCATCGCTCCTTCCACCTTTGCTTTTGACCGATCGCATCAGTATCATGTCTGGTAACGCCTCGGAAACCGCGGTGGAGAAGTACCGTTACGAAATCCTCTTCGGCGCCTGGCTGGCCGTCACAGGCGCGACATTTCTCCGCATCAAGCGCCAGCCCTACTCGACCCGTCTGAAGATCGAGCAGTACGAGAGCATCTTCAAGGGCACATCGCTCAGTGCCGTGCTGATCGGAATTGGAATTACACCTGCGCGGACGACAGCAAGGCGATTCAGCGGGAATTGAGCGGAGAGGCTCGCTGTCGATGCTCCGCAGAGAAGGGGCGGAGAGGTCGCGTCTGGTTGACCTTGGCGCTTCCCCGCAACTTTCACATGCGAACACCCGTCATTGTTCCTTCCTTCTCCACCACGGGTCGCCATCATGTTCCTTCGACTGGGCTCATCCAGTCTTGAGCTCAGCCTGTGGAACCCCGTGTATGCTGTCACGCCGTTTGTCCTGCTATCCGTCTCCATCCCGCTCGCCTTCTTCGCCGTCGTCACCACCTCAATCGCCGTATCGCTCCTCTCCTTCCGCGCATTAACCGTATATTGCCGTCTCGCCATTGCAATCATAGGCGCATGGCTGTCTCCGTCGGCTTCGAAGCCAGTTCCGCTTCGTGCCCCTCTCATACCCTCGTCCGCCCGACACTCCCCGACCGGGCAGCGCCATCGCCGAACAAGCACGGCTAGCACGACATCTTCGCAAGATGCAGCTCTACACTCGGCGCATACGTCACGTCTCCTGAAACATAAGAACAACTCTCTCACGGCGCTCATTGGTACAAGCGAATTGACGCGTGACTTTGAAGGCGTGGGAGGATGGAGAGTGCCAGGTGACGACGACGAAGAGGCGCTGTGGATGGGCATCAACTCACGGCTTCAGTTGCCTGCCGAGACGCCTACTCGGAGGCATGCGCGGAGTCTGACAGGCGGTGCAAGCCCGGGCCAGAGGTGGAGTGCTGGGTCAGAAGCGTTTCGCATGAGCCCGGTACAGAGCAGGGCAAGGACACCAGTACGCTCTGCCGTCGAGGACGGATCTGGCTACTTCCCTGTGCAGCCCGCCCCAAAAAGTCGGCGTGGTAGCGCCGGCTCCGAGAATGCCAAACAACACCACAGAAGGAAAAGTGGCAGTGGTAGCAGCATGTCAAGTACTGCCTCCGGTCTGGCTATCACGATGAAGGAAGCTGGCAAATGAATTAACTCCACTGACTACGCTTCTTTCCCGAAGCCCGCTTCATCTCGGCTCTGCAAGAAGATCAGAGTTCGATTCTTCGATTCACCTAGACTACAAACCATGCCGCGCTGAATATGATAACGACCTTAGATACCCCGAAAACGACTGACGCATCATCTCACACGAGCGTACGACTATGAAACCGACGAGACTTAACCATCTCTCTCGCTCAAGAGTCCGTCGTGACGCTTTCTCGATACGAAGAACCCCCGTCACACATTTCAGTTGGCGTCTTGTTCAACTAGGAGGATGTAACGAATACACGATTACAAGTAGCCGCTTGTGGAGGAGAGAACGATACTACGTGTTGTATACGTCGACGCGGACGATGAACAGCTAGCCGTCTCAAAGGTACCGAATACTTCTTTGCTAGTACATTGCATCTTGATCTTCAAGGTTTTACAGCTATGTATGTTCTAAACTGGCCATAACGTATCTCCTTTCACATGTCAACTCTTTCTAGAGTCTTCTTCAGACCTCGAGATCAGCGAAAAGGATTTGGAGGATGTCCTTGGCATGCAGCTGCATACATGGGTTTGCAGCAACAGCAATTTACTTTTCATATATAACCAAAGCCCCACATGCGTATCGCAGTGATCGTCGAGTATGATACTGCCAGCGTTCTCAAAGGCTAAAATGAAGTCGTACGACATTAGGATAGAACCCGAGGGAAGGATTCCCGGACCCCACTGCAATCACCTCGAGATTGCCTGTTCACTCAACGACATGTGATCGTGGGTCTGGTGCGAGAGACGGCAGGCAAGTCCGGAAAGCAGATATCTAGAGTCTACATTTTCTGTATGCTCAGGTCGTGTATATTCTTGACATCTCGTCATTCCCATCTTCATTTCCAAGACCACCTCTCACAACCACAAACATGCTCCCAACCCTCCTCCCCCTCCTCCTCCTCCTCCTCGCTCGCCATGTCACAGCCCAACCCCCCTTCTTCAACATAACCATCCCCCCCATGCTCCGCTTCCAATGCTCGCAACTCGTCGTCGAGCGCCTCGACCCCCTCGTCACCCCCTCCCTCATCCCATCCCCCCACCTCCACCAAATCGTCGGCGGAAACTCCTTCACAGCCTCCATGCCGCAGTCCCACGACCTCGTCACCGCGTCCACATGCACAAGCTGCACGTTTTCTGAAGACTTCTCGAACTACTGGACCGCAGTCTTGTACTTCCGCGCTCGCAATGGCACGTATAAAAGGGTGCCGCAGTTTGTTAGTGAGGGGCTGAAAGGCGCGGCGGGGATAACGGTGTATTATACGCCGGATACAAAGAATCAGACTGGTGTTACGGCTTTCAGACCCGGGTTTCGCATGTTGGTTGGGGATGCGTTGGCGACGGAGAAAACGTCGGCTCGGAAGGTGTGTTATAGGTGTATGCCGGAGACAGGTGATAACATGCATCTCAACTGCGCGGCGCCGGATGCGCAGACACTTCCTACGGGTTTCTGTCCGGGCGGTATTCGCTCTGTTATCACTTTCCCCACGTGTTGGGATGGCGTTAACCTGGATTCTCCGGATCATCAGAGTCATGTGGCGTATGCGGACGGGGCGGGCGAGACCGATGTCGGGCCTACGGGGACGTGTCCTGAGTCACATCCGGTGGCTATACCGCAGGTTATGTATGAGGTTATGTGGGATACAAGAGAGTTCAACGACGAGGCTTTGTGGCCGGAGGATGGGAGTCAGCCTTTTGTGCTTAGTACGGGGGACAGGTGAGTTCATTTTTCTCCTCCTCGAGCGTTGATCGAATCTAACGGGTTGTCAATACAGCGACGGGTTCTCGCAGCATGGAGACTACGTGTTTGGCTGGAAGGACGACTCACTCCAGCGTGCCATGGATGCGCGCTGTTTTGGTGATGCGTGTTCGGTGTTGGAATCGCAGACCACTGAGGAGGCAATGAAGTGTACTATTCCGCGGACTGTTGATGAGGATGTTGATGGATGTAAGTTATGCCGTATTGTTTTACGAATTCTGTACTAATCACTCGATATAGGGTTGACTGAACTTCCTGGAGGTCTTATGAAGGTTTGAAAAAGGGCCAATGTGCGTGATTCGATGGATTAGAATAACTCGATGATTCAATTGTATGTATGCGATACGCAAGGTTTAGAGTTCTCGTAATGTAAGCTATTCATGGCATCCATCTCAGCACTAGGAAGATCATTGAACAGCATCGAAATCCTCATCTGCAATCTTCAATGCTCGTATCAGCCACTGAAGGAACCCGCCGCGAATCCTCTCCCCACCAATCAACGCTATGCTTGCATTCACCTTCGTTCCCTTACAACGCGTCACAAAGACGACGTTGTGATAGTCGAATAATGCCAAGCAATAACACTCCCGCTTCTGTCCAAATGATAACATGGCTTCCAGAAGGGGCTTCGCCGTGCGCACGATACCTTCGCCATTCGTGAACGTAAGGTCCGGCTTCCGGAGACCCCAATCGCCGGGTACGATCGTGCCGGCAGGAGCAAACTGAACTATACCAACGAGCTCCTTCGCGTTGCGTTCGCCGGTCTTGCGCACATACCAGGTGATGGCGTCGGGAACAATATCGTAGCTGTGTTTGAGGGCCGGAGAGTGATCCTTACCGGCAATGACCAGAAAGTCGATCAAAGTGAGTTGTGAGGATTTCAGGACGCCTTCCGGTGTGGCGATTGCGGAATCGTCGACAGTATGGAGTGGGCTGTCTCCCACTTTGACGAGCTTGCCATCAGGGGTTGTGTAGATTTTGAATGCACAGCCACCGTACTGGGCGCCGAACGTGAGTAGCGCGCTGCTTACCTCGCTATTGTCGATATGTTTGTCATATAGGAAACATTGCGGCGGAGTCTCCAGAGCCGCGGCCTCCAGATTCGAGTCCTCCAGCGCGTATCCCACAAGCGGTTTCAGCATCTGTACGTTTGTGTTTCTGATCGCCTCCCCTAGCCACATAATGAGCTTGTAGCGAATTTCATCTGACCATCCCACGAATACGGTGACACCTGACTGGGGTTTATCGTTGAATACGAACAAAATCAGATGCACACCGTCGTAGAAGCCAATCCGATCACATCCGAATTTCAGACGAATGTTGGCGGCTGCCGTCCCCAGGGTGTTAGTCCGTTCTTGGTGTCTTGAAACATGGGCAATGCTGTCGCCGTCGTCGTCCTTTTTTACGATATCAAGACTTGAGTCGTTGGGCCATCGTATGACAATAGCGATAGGATCGAGTACATCATCCGCTTTGATGCACCAGGCCATTGTATAGGGTTGGCCAGCGTACAATTTCGAGAAGTGGATGCGATCGCCGTAGTACCGTTTGATGATGTCATTGGGAATATCTACGAGTTCCGTCAAGGTGGAACCAAGGTCGGGGATGCTGTTCACGTCGCGGAGATGGGGATGATACACGATATCGGTGTCGTCAGAATTGGATGGGTGTCCTTCGCGAGTTTCGTTCTGGTCGGCGTCGTTGGTTGATGTTGATGGCGTACTCGGCTTTGTCTCAGCTCCCGGGTAAGTGTCCGCACTCTGTGTTGATAGTGTATGTCCGACAAGCGTCTCTGTGGAGGAGTCCGAATCGGAAGCGAGGGTCTTAGCGAGCTCATCCACTTCAGCCCTCAGAGAGCGCAATTTGTCTGTGATGGAGCATGATGAAGCCTCGGGTGAGTTGGAGGACATGATGTCGACTGCGAAGACACAAAGTCGAAGGTGGTGAGAGAAGGCAGGGTGAGGGTCGGTTTGTTGACACCACAATGAAACTAGCGCGGGTGGAAGTGGAAAGAGCCCTTCAGGGCTGGGTTATGAACACCATGTGCTAACGTTCCTAGGCAGTTGCGACCATCTGGCCACTCGAATCCCTCCTCACCACACGTCTCATAATCTCTACAAGATCAATATCGACGTTGAGCCACCATTTTCTTTGCTCTTCTGGCGAGAGCAGTGGCACCCCTCCTTCCGTCTTTCTCTTTTCTAATTTCGGAAAGCACAGCCACAGAACCAAGAGAGCTGCGAGAACAG